TCCTCCTGCACTCCAATCCTCTACCCCGAGCTTCCTTCTGCACTCAACCTCTGTCCCAGACCCCTCACCCTCTAGTGCGGCCCACTTACCAAAATCTTGGGAGTGCCCTCCATCAAAAATTATTGCCCACCCCTGTTTTAGATGGCTCCTTTACAAGGCACGTGGGATGTAAGCACAATTCACCTGTATATAGAAGCAGAAGTCTTACATTTTAGGCCCCTTTACATTGTCTGAGTGGTGTCAAGTGACCAACATGTAAATTTAAACTAGTTCAGATCCTCCCTATATCTTCCTTTAGGCTTAAAAACTTGTTTCTGGTTTAAAACTTTCCAGACTACAATATATGGTGGCATAGGGTCTCATTTACTCTGGGATCATGCCTTTGGACAGCTGAGTAATTTAGTGATTCGCACTAGCAAACAATAAAATTACCCGTTACTACCATCTGTTATTTTTACTTTTCCCTTGCTCAAGCCTAGAGTTGTCTTTCCTGTTTTAAATTCACTCACAGTCTAAATTGGATGCTGAGTTCTCTCATCCTTTCCTCAACTGTTGTCTAACATTGCTACATGCTGCTACACAGCTCTAGGGTATGCTCACACGGCAAAAAAATAAAAATAAAAAGACTGACAAAAGTGTATCTCAGCGCCTAGGGCTACAGGCCTGAGTTCACACTATTGCGCTAAAAAAAAATCACGCCAGCGGGGCAGCCAGCAACAGACGCTAGGCTTCCTGGGTCCCAGTCCAGCACCCATCTGCACTGCCTCTGTGTACATTTTGAATGTATAATCATGCTAGACTGTTGTGTGCTGTAGAAGCATGGCAAATTTGCTGGAAAACCCCACTCTGGCAACTGACTGTGGGTGACAAGCTGGCGCGCTGGCTTTTGGTATGGCTAGAAACACAGTTGAGTAACTTAAATGCCATTAAAAAGTACACAATGCCCAAAGTGGATGATAAACTTAATGACAGAAATAACTTCACAGTCAGACAGCCAGCTGCAGCAGCTGCTGCTCACATTCCTGCCAGAGAAAGAACCTGTAAAACATGCAAGCAATGGAATAACCCGCAGTAAGTGGTGAAAGCCCCCAGGAGATGCTTTCAGTAAACCAAATGTCAAACACTCTCTCCCCCTACCACAATGATAACTGTGTTGACACAGCGTAACACAGATAACATCCTATCAGCTGTCATAGCTTCTGAGGGTTGCTGGACCCCATGTAGCTTATTGGGGAAGCAAGGTGCCTCTCTGAAAAGTAGTGGGGGAGGGTAACGGAGGCCAATAAAGCATGCAGCAGTTCAGACAGGCTATTGGTGCTCTGAACCACTCTGTTATCCAGCCTGTTCCTGGGCATTTAGCATTGGCATGGCACCGTGTTTGGAACACACACAACTGCTGCATTCTGACAAAGAGGCAGCAATGTCACCTAAGGGCCGAGCTAACGCATTATGACAATTCCCATGTTCTTATAATCAGCCCTTTTATTTTAGACTTACACACACAAACATACACGTAAGTTGAGGGATCTTTCGTTTCAGGGGCATGGGGGTGTGTGCATGACTAACCTATAGGAAAATATATATACACACACTAACATGCACGCAGATATTACACACACACACACACACACACACACACACACACACACACACACACACACACGGAAAAACATCCCCAGCCTCATTTAAAATTCCCAGTGCATAAGTCACAGTCAGTCAACTGGAGATAATACTGGGATAGAGAAATATTAGAATCCAACATATTATTATGCACAAGGTGTATACCAGTTCTTACGGGTTTTTTCCTATCATGCCACCCGCTAACTACAAGAAAATATGATAAATAAAGACATAGGTAGTGAGAGAAGTACATTACAAGAAAAGGTTTGCATAGGCAGAATAGAGACTAGTTCAGGGACATGTTTATGCTGAGGATTGACTTTTGCAAGTTAAAAGCAAGAGGTGCTGCTTTTCCAAGGTTTATAGAAATATATGGATTTTAATATCTCCTATATGCTATCCTTTGGAGCTATCCCAAAAAGCAAAGCACCCAATCCCAGTACTGTAAGCGTATCTTTACTGATAATGCCAACGCTAGCACTGGAATGCAAATCATGATCTGCATCAATACAAGTAGTACATAGGTGCACCGGTCCATCAAAACCCACAAGTGTTCATGTCTCCCCTAGTCCTCATGCAGCTCTCCTCACCTCTAGCCACCTCTCACAAACCCACAGGGGAATGCATTTTAAAAAGGTCATCGGAAAACAACAGAAGAATGCAAAATAACCTACGAAAAGCAAGTCGCCTACGTTGTCTCTGTGACAAGGTGAGCAACTTACTACCAAATAGTCAAGAGATGGAGAATTTCCTGCCATAAAATCAAGCTTAAAAGTTAAAATAAACCAAGCATCTACCCTTCTCTGTACAGAAAAGTCATTAAGATGGAAGAAGAGGCAGCCCAGGTTCTATGAAATGAGCCTTCTTCAGGCTGACCTGTAGATCAAGGAATTGGAACACATTCCCTTTTATTGTACGCCAAGAGAAGAGTCAGACTCTAGAATTTTCTTCCAGACAGAATCTAGCAATGACCAAATTTTGGCCAAAAGACTGTGATTGTTCCACCACAGTGCAGAGCCTGTCACGGAGATCAAAGCAGGTGTTAGTCCTGCAATAAGTCATGACAGGCGTCCCTTCCAGAGTCACCCAGAAACTTGAGCAGCATAGAATGAAGCCAGTAAGAGTTTCTGGGCAAGGTAGCAAGGCATGAGTGCATTACACCCATGCTGCCTGCTGGCAGCCAGCAAACTTGTGAAGATGCCAAATGCCATCTACAAAGTAGTAAATCAACCTGGAGGCCACCCACAACGACCACGATTCCCTCTGTAAAGCAGCATAATCCATGTTCCTCCGCATCATTTGTGCTTACACTTTCCAAGTGATGCGAGCGGGAGAGAGGAGCAGAAGGTTTCACCCTAGGGACTCACTACTACACAAAACTCACTTAAGATTGGTCACATCCAGAAAGCCTTGTGAATGCACCGCTCAGTTATTTTTTCAGAAGGCCAAGGAAGGAATTGAAACATGGAGAACATAAGAATGTTATGGTCCATTTAGCCCAGTATCCTGTCTGCTGACAGTGGCCGATACCAGATGCCCCAGAGGGAGGGACCACAACAGGTAATCCTCATGTGACCCCTCCCCTGTCACCCATTTACAGACAAACAGTGGCTAGGGACACCATTCCTACCCATCCTGGCTAACAGCCATTGATGGACCTAACCTTCATGAATCTATCTAGCTCTTATTTGAACCCTGTTGAAGTCTTAGCCTTCACCACATCCTCTGGCAAGGAGTTCCACAGGATGACTGCACGGAGTGAAGAAAACTTCCTTTTGGAGATTTAAAACTCGAGTGTTGCACAAAGGCAATAATTCTTTCTGGAAAGTACAGTGGACATACATCACTCTAAACATCCCTTACCTGAAAACCTCTTACCCCAAACTGTATTAGGTCTCCCATTGTGCATGATTTGCAGAGAAAGAGCCTCCTACATGTTTATCCAAACAACCAGTCACCCTGTTCAGATAAATGGGGTCCTAAATGTGTTTAAAATAGAGCAATATTCAACTTCTTTATCAGCCACCCCAAAGCAGCCCTTTCCAGGTCACTCGTGGCTCTTATTGGTACCTCTCCAGACTCCTGAACTCTTTGACTGTTACTCCCACAATTCTGTCCAAAAGGATATGGATGAGAAGCAGCACAAGCATGATTGCCATATTCCAGACCGATGAGTGTACAACTCATGTCCACATGCTTCAGATGAGTGTACAAAAAAAACCTTCCTTTTCGTCAGGGTGGTAAACACTGAAATAAATTGCCTAGGGAGGTTGTAGAATCTCCATCACTGGAGATATTTAAGAGCAGGTTGGATAGACATCTATCAGGGATGATTTAGATGGTGCTCGGTCCTGCCATAAGGGTAAGGGAGTGGACTTGATGACCTCCCAAGGTCCCTTCCAGTTCTGTGATTCTAATTGTTCAGATTAAATGCATATCCGATGAACCTGAAGAAAAGTGTCTTTCAAGTACCACATATACATCCATTGGTAAATTAAGCCCACTTCCTTCCCACAAAAAAAACTCTTAACATTCAATAAATAATTCAGGAATTTGCATTTTATAGAAATCACTTTAAAAAAAAAAAGTAACTCTCAAG